TTTTTCTTTTTTTCCCTTTAAAAAAATTTCCCCCCGGGGGGGGGAGGGAAAAAACAAAAAAAAAAAACCCCCCCCCAAACCCCCAAAAAAAAAAAAAAATTTTTTTTTTTTTTTCCGGGGGAAACCGGGGAAAAAAAAATAAGGTTTTTATTTCAAAATTTAAAACCCCCCCCCCCCGGGGGGGGGGTTTTTTTTTAAAAAAAAAAATTTTGGAACCCGGGGTTTAAAAAAAAAATTTTTTTTTTAAAAAAAAGGGGGAAAAAATTTTTTTTTAAATTTTTTAAAAAATTTTAAAAATTTTTAAAAAATTTTCCCCCAAAAAAAAAAAAAAAAGGGGGGGGGGGGTTTAAAATTTTTTTAAACCCCCCCCTTAAAAAAATTTTTAAAAAAAAAAGGGAAAAATTTTGGGGGGGGGGTTTTTTTTTCCCCCCCCCCCCCAAACCCCAAAAAAAAATTTTTTTTTAATTTTTTTAAAAAAAAATTTTTTTTTTTTGGGGGAAAAAAAAAATTTTTAAATTTTTTTAAAAAAAAAAAAATTTTTTAATTTTTTTTAAAAAAAAACCCCCCAAAAAACCAAAAAAAAAAAAAAAATTTTTTAAAAAAAAAATTTTTTTTTTTAAAAAAAAAGGGGTTTTTTTAAAAAAAATTTTTTTTTTCCAAAACCCCCCCCCGGGGGGGGGGAAAAAAAAAATTTTTTAAAAAAAAGGGGAAAAGGGGGCCCCCGGGGAAAGGGGGGTTTTAATTTTTTTTAAAAAAAAAAAAAAAAAACCCTTTTAAAATTTTTAAAAAATTAAAAAGGGGGGAAAAAAAAAAAAGAATTTTAAAAAGGGGGAAACCCCCCCAAAAAAAAAAAGGGGAAAAACCCCAAAAAATTTTTTTTAAAAAAAAAAAAAAAAACCCCCCGGCCCTTTTTAAAATTTTTTTTAAAAATTTAAAAAAAAAAATTTTTTTTTTTAAAATTTTTAAAAATTTTAAAAAAGGGGGGGGTTTTTTTTTAAAAAAAAACCCCCCCCCCCTTTTTCCCCTTTTTTTTAATTTTCCCCCTTTTTGGAAATTGGAACCTTTTTGGGGGGGTTTTTTTTTTTTTTTTATTTTTGGGGGGGGGCCCTTTTTAAAAAGGGTTTTTTTTTCCAAATTAAAAAAAAAAATTTTCCCCAAAAAAAAGGGTTTAAAAAAAAAAATTAAAACCCGTTTTTTCCCCTTTTTTTGGGAAGGTTTTTTAAAAAAAAAAGGGGTTTTTTAAAAAAAAAAAAACCCCCAAAAGGGGGGTTTTTTTTTTTTTTTAAAAAAAAAATTTTTTTTTCCCCCAAATTTTTTTTTAAAAAAAATTTTTTTTTTTTTTAAAAAAAATTTTTTTTGGGGGGGTTTTTTTTTTTAAACCCCCTTTTTTTTTTTTTAAATTTTAAAAAAAAAATTTTTTTCCCCAAAACCCCCCCAAAATTTTTTTTTTTTTTTTTAAAAAAAGGGGTTTTTAAAAAAAATTTTTTTTTGGGGGGGAAAAAAAAAAAAAAAAATTAATTTTTCCCCCCCCCTTTTCCCTTTTCCCCCCCCCCTTTTTTAAAAAAAAAAGGGGGAAAATTTTTAAAGGGTTTTAAAAAAAAAAATTTTTTTAAAAAAAAAAAAAAAAAAAAATTTTAAAAAAGGGGGGGGGGGGAAAAAAAAAAATTTTTTTTTTTTGGGGTTTTTTTTCCAATTTGGGGAAAAAATTTTTCCAAAATTTTTTTAAAAAAAAAGGGGGGAAAAAAATTTTTTTAAAATTTTTTTTAATTTTTTGGGGGAAAAATTTGGGGAAATTTTCCCTTTTTTTTTTAAAAAAAAAAAATTTTTTTTAAAAAAATTTTTTTTAAATTTTAAAAAAAAAAAATTTTCCCCCCCCCAAAAATTTTTTTTCCAAAAAAAAAAAACCAAAAAAATTTAAAAACCCCCCTTTTTTTAAAAAAATTTTTTTCCCCCCTTTTTTTTGGGGGGGGGAAAAAAACCCCTTTTTTTTCAACCTTTTTGGGGTTTTAAAATTTTAATTAAACAAATTTTTTCCCCTTTTTTTTCCCCTTTTTTAAAAAAATTTTAAAATTTTTCCCTGCCCAGTGCATGAAATTACTGCCTCTGTTTCTTCCTTAAACATTTAAAAGTTCCTCAAAATATTCTCGCCATCTACCCAATACCTCCATTTTCCCCATCTACTAACTCCCCTACTCTGTTTTTAACTGACAAATCCATATTTTCCCTAGGCTTTCTTAACTTGTTTAACTCGCTCCAAAATTTTTTCTTATTTTCATTAAAATTTCTTGACAGTGCCTCTCCCACTCTATCATCTGCTCTCCTTTTGCACTCTCTCACCACTCTCTTTACCTTTCTTTTACTCTCCATATACTCTGCTCTTCTTATAAACACTTCTGCTTTGTAAAAACCTCTCATAAGCTACCTTTTCCTCTTTTATCACACCCTTTACTTCATCATTCCACCAATCAACTCCTCTTTCCTCCTGCCCCCACCCTCCTATAACCACAAACTTTCTGCCCCACATTCTAATACTGCATTTTTAAAACTATTCCAACCCTCTTCAACCCCCCCACTACTCATCTTTGCACTAGCCCACCTTTCTGCCAATAGTCGTTTATATCTCACCCGAACTTCCTCCTCCCTTAGTTTATACACTTTCACCTCCCTCTTACTTGTTGTTGCCACCTTCCTCTTTTCCCATCTCCCTCTTACTCTAACTGTAGCTACAACTAAATAATGATCCGATATATCAGTTGCCCCTCTATAAACATGTACATCCTGGAGCCTACCCATCAACCTTTTATCCACCAATACATAATCTAATAAACTACTTTCATTACGTGCTACATCATACCTTGTATATTTATTTATCCTCTTTTTCATAAAATATGTATTACTTATTACCAAATTTCTTTCTAAAACAATAGCTCAATTAAGGCTCCCCATTTACATTTACCCCTGGCACCCCCAAATTTACCTACTACTCCCTCCATAACATTTTTACCCACTTTAGCATTAAAATCCCCAACCACCATTACTCTCACACTTGATTCAAAACTCCCCACGCATTCACTCAACATTATCCCAAAAACTCTCTCTCTCCTCTACACTTCTCTCTTCTCCAGGTGCATACACGCTTATTATAACCCACTTTTCACATCCAATCTTTATTTTGCTCCACATAATCCTTGAATTAATACATTTATAGTCCCTCTTTTCCTGCCATAGCTTATCCTTCAACATTATTGCTACTCCTTCTTTAGCTCTAACTCTATTTGAAACCCCTGACCTAATCCCATTTATTCCTCTCCACTGAAACTCTCCCACCCCCTTCAGCTTTGTTTCACTTAAAGCCAGGACATCCAGCTTTTTCTCATTCATAACATCCACAATCATCTCTTTCTTATCATCTGCACAACATCCACGCACATTCAGACTTCCCACTTTGACAATTTTCTTCTTCTTATTCTTTTTAGTAATATATGAATATAGCAATAAATTCAATGGAACACTGGCAGTATGTGTAAACAGATGGTTACTTTAAGCTGACAATTTTGAGGAATAATGAAATATTATAATGGAAAGTACTGTCTTGCCTTTCACCCTCCTTAGAAGACGGCTTGACTCAACCATGGGAATGTTAGAAAACCTTGATTTTTTTCATACTGATGATTTACATAAAATGCAGCCAGCAGCTACTACATTAGGTGTAAAACATCCTTTCAGACTTACTTTTTTTTTCCCCACATCGATTGATTCTTGCTAAGATAAGGTTAACCGAAGAAGTTAATACATTTGCCTTCACTCAGAACTGTGCATGCAACACAGTTTGATTCTCCAAATTACAGCATTCCCACCCTTAGTGTGCAGGCACTATAATTCCTATATGGTACTGAGATGCTTGTAAAATTAGCTTTCTAGTGGCAGTCTTTAGACCTGTGGTTTCAGGAACCTGGTACATGATATATATACCAACAGAGTGTAGCTCTTTTGTAACACTAGAACATTTTATTAAGAAACCCCTTCAATTTTGGAAACTATCAATCTAATGATTTGGATTGAAAACTCCCAGGAGTTAAATATTTCCTGTAAAATTTGTAATGGTGTACAAGTGTCTTTTAAGGTCAATTTATTTTTATAGAGGGCTCTTGCTCTATGGAATATTTTAAAATACACAAATAACCCTCACACACATAGGAGGAAGAGACTTACGAAGACGTTTCGGTTCGACCCTGACCATTAACTAGTTTAGGTCTAGTTCATGGTACAAGTTGGACTGAAACGTTATGTTTTTCTCCTGAAACATTGTCGTGTTTTTCTCTTGAAACATTGTCATGTTTTTTCCTTAAACGTTGTCATGCTTTTCTCCTGAAACATAGTTGTGTTTTTCCCCTGAAACGTTGTCGTGTTTTTCCCCTGAAACGTTGTCGTGTTTTTCCCCTGAAACGTTGTCGTGTTTTTCCCCTGAAACGTTGTCGTGTTTTTCCCCTGAAACGTTGTCGTGTTTTCCCCTGAAACGTTGTCGTGTTTTTCCCCTGAAACGTTGTCGTGTTTTTCCCCTGAAACGTTGTCGTGTTTTTCCCCTGAAACGTTGTCGTGTTTTTCCCCTGAAACTTGTCGTGTTTTTTCCCCTGAAACGTTGTCGTGTTTTTCCCCTGAAACGTTGTCGTGTTTTCCCCTGAAACGTTGTCGTGTTTTTCCCCTGAAACGTTGTTGTGTTTTTCCCCTGAAACGTCGTGTTTTTCCCCTGAAACGTTGTCGTGTTTTCCCCCTGAAACGTTGTCGTGTTTTCCCCCTGAAACGTTGTCGTGTTTTCCCCCTGAAACGTTGTCGTGTTTTCCCCCTGAAACGTTGTCAGTGTTTTTCTCCTGAAACGTCATATTTTTTCCCCCATGTGCAGGTTATCTGTGTATTGTTCCACTCATGGTATTGTGCTTTTTATTTTTTCTGAATATATTACAAAGTTGTGTGCATTGATTTTATATCATTTTTCATAACAGCATCAAAACAGAAGTACATCCTTCCAAGTCAGAGAGGAGCCAAAGGTCCTGTTGGTTTGCCAAATACTGAGAAGAAGTTCCTCAGTGAGGTGGATGACCCAACAAAGAATGAGGGTAAGTCTTTATTTTTATTTCAATAGATACCAGTGATGAAGAGAGCTAGTCAGTAATACTCTTGGATTTCTTATTCCAAGTTTAAATTTTAAATTCTAAACAAGCTCTAAAATGCTAAATGGCCAGATATGATGAAAACTTCTTATTCTCTATTTTCAGAGGGTTTGTAGATTAATATTGTTGCAAAGCACAATTTATGTTTCACAGTATTTGTCAACTATTTATTATATTTGGCAATATTTGCTATTTATTATGTTCAGTAGCATCAAGTATTAGTGAGTACATAAACAGGACACCATTTAGGTAAGAGAATTTAACTTTCTAGACATTTGGTAGTGAACAGGTAATTTAATCATTTGCCACATTTGTATCTACTGTTTTCATGCCCCTCCCAAAAGTAATGCTTCCATGATACTTCTGAGCGACGCGTTAGCCACTGGGCCAGCTAGCCACAATAAGATTCATCCAAAAATGCACAAAAGCATTTGTGGTCACAGTGGTGCCCATGCTAACCTTCCTATGGTGTATAAATATACCTAGTTTGATGAATTTTATTGTGGCTAGCTGACCCAGTGGCGAATGCATCGGTCTGGAGTTTCATGACTGATCACGGGTTCTAACCCCGCCCATGATATGGTTTGTTTACAATTATGTCATTACGATTTCGTGAGTCATACATAGAACATGGAATACCTACATGACATCATGATTTGTACCTATACATTTTTGTAATAATATTCATATTAACGTACAATTGATTTAAAAAAAAATTAGGCACAAATATTTGGAGTGTGGAATAATCCTGGCAGTGTTAATATTTGCTAAAGAGGCATGTTAAGGGTTGGATGTATACAGTGCTGTACAGTATGAAGCTACACGTATTAAAGATAAATGAAACTTCAGAAGGCCTGTTAGCCCATGTAAAGCAGTTCTTACCTACACATTCCCAACTTTTAACAAAGTATCTGAATATAATGAAAATAATAATTAGTAGTCTTCAAGTTGGGTATGCTGTTATGCCCACATTTCACAATATTTACTCTTGGAAAAAACACAAATGCAGTATGGTATGATCCTTTATTGATGTTTTGGTTACACAATGGGCTTTACAAGTCACAAACAGACCTATTTGGGGCCACCCCACCGAGGCGGGGTGGCCCAAAAGGAAAAATGCAAGTTTCTCCTTTTCTTCTTCTTTCAACACACCAGCCGTATCCCACCGAGGCGGGGTGGCCCAAAAGGAAAAACGAAAGTTTCTCCTTTTACATTTAGTAATATATACAGGAGAAGAGGTTACTAGCCCCTTGCTCCCGGCATTTTAGTCGCCTCTTACAACACGCATGGCTTACGGAGGAAGAATTCTGTTCCACTTCCCCATGGAGATAAGAGGAAATAAACAAGAATAAGAACTAGAAAGAAAATAGAAGAAAACCCAGAGGGGTGTGCATATATGTGCTTGTACATGTATGTGTAGTGTGACCTAAGTGTAAGTAGAAGTAGCAAGACGTACCTGAAATCTTGCATGTTCATGAGACAGAAAAAAGGACACCAGCAATCCTACCATCATGTAAAACAATTACAGGCTTTCGTTTTACACTCACTTGGCAGGACGGTAGTACCTCCCTGGGCGGTTGCTGTTTACCAACCTACTACCTATAATATATATATCTATAGATTTTTTTTTTTTTAAGCAAGTCGGCCGTCTACCACCGAGGCAGGGTGACCCAAAAAGAAAGAAAATCCCCAAAAAGAAAATACTTTAATCATCATTCAACACTCACCTCACTCACACATAATCACTGTTTTTGCAGAGGTGCTCAGAACACAACAGTTTAGAAGCATATACTTATAAAGAGACACAACATATCCCTCCAAACTGCTAATATCCTGAACCCCTCCTTTAGAGTGCAGGCATTGTACTTCCCATTTCCAGGACTCAAGTCCGGCTATATAAAAATAACCGGTTTCCCTGAATCTCTTCACTAAATATTACCCTGCTCACATTCCAACAGATCATCAGGTCCCAAATACCATTCATCTCCATTCACTCCTATCGAACATTGATGTCTTTAGTAGGCTAATGACAGGTTGGACAAATATGTGGGGCTGACAAGAGGTTGGATTTGAGAAGGACCTGTCTAGCATGGGCTAGTGGGCCTTCTGCAGTGTTCTTCCATCTATGACCTGTTGTTATGCAGGGTAACAGTGAAGAAGGTTCCTGAGAGGAGGTTCAGCTATGTTGTAGCAACTGTTGTTACGGTTGAAATTGTTGAATATGCAGATGAGTGATGATTGAAAGATTCTGCACCTCTGAGTGTCTGGGTTTTTTTTTTTTTCTTGGCAATGATTTTTGCATCTATGTAATTAAATGATTGTGGGAATTTCGGTGTAAAACATAGGTGTTAGTTGTCCGTATTGCTGGCATATTGGTGTTCAGAAATAGGTGTTTGAAGGTCTCGCAATGTTTTTTCCAATTTGGGTTGCAGTGGTTGCAGGGAATTATGTATACCCCTGCAGAGGATTGAAACTGTTGGTGTTTTTGATTGTAGTGGATGTAGTGATAGTTACTTGAATTCAGTGTCGGAAAGAATGTTGATGTTTGATGTTGTTAGGCAAGTTGAAAATGTTATGTGCATGGCATCTGCAATTTCTGATAAAGTGACGAGGATAGTGTGGCTTAGAAAATACATCGTCTCTCCCCAGGCAGATCTGTTTGCAAGTTGATAAAGCCAACTGTTTGGGCAAAGCATCTGTAATGGTTCTCATTATACTGCATTTGTCTCTGTTGTGTCAATTCTTTGTGCCTCATGACTCATGAAATCATAATGACACGATTGCAAACAAATCATACCACGAGTGGGGCTTAAACCTTTGATTAGAAAGTTGTAAAACTCCAGAGCGACACATTAGCCAGTGGATGACATGTTGGTCTGTAGCAAAGAGCTCTTAAGTCTCTCCTTGTACCTATATTTATCTATTCATAACATCTTGCTACTAATGCAGCTTTAAATGAGGTGAGGTGTAGGTCAAATCTAGTGCAATGGAAAATTCTGGCATTGTTTAGTAGTAAAGCCCAGCTTCATTATATGAGAATGTAGTAATTACCTTATTCATGCCCCTTCATTTGATGCAGTTGCTAACTGTTTGCTGTCATATCACTAGCTTTAATGTTTTTGTTTTATGTTAAAACATTGTCAAGATATTAATATTAGTAAGATCTTTTTGTAATATATGATACACTTTTTGCTTTTTATATGTATTAATCATTTTATATCTGTACATGCAACTTTGGATTCTGAAGAACGGTTTCATTTTATATTTGTAGGAGCTCCTCAGCTCTCAAAGGCTGCATTGAAAAAGAAGAAGAAGAGAGAAGCAGCTAAGAAAAAGCGCGAAGAAGAGGGAGAAGCTGGCAAAGGAGAAAAAGGAGGAAACAACTGGAGAGAAACCGCTGGTCAAGAACCTCCCGTGCCAGTTAAAGCTGCACTGCCGGTCAATTCGTTTGCCGCATCCATTGAGCTGACTGGAGATCCCGAGAAAGACAAAAAGATTAGAAATATTAAGAAGGTAAATGTGCAAAAATTTAGCATTTAGTCTTTGTTGTGCAAACTGAGAGATAATGGGTTAAGGGAAAGGTAAACAGGGAAAGATAAAAGTTTGCTTGAATGGAGTAAATATTGTATGTTCACAGAGGAGCTGTGAAGTAAAAACGAACATGTGTGTGTCTGGCAAATAAGAGTTAAGGAGAGGGAGAAAGAAAGCATGTGATGGAGCAGTAGAGAGGGCTGTAAAAAGAGGAGAGAACAATAGTGCTATGAAGAAGCAATAGAATGAGCTGAGGGGGGGGGGGGAAGAGAAAGATGGAGAAAGTGAGAGCAATGGAGCAATAGTAAGAGAGGGAGGGAGGGAGAAAAATAGAGAACAATAGCAATCGTTTAATAGATTTGATATTCGACAATGAAGAAAAGGGGAGTGAAATAAAAAAAAAAATGGTTGACAGGTTGCACTATCATATACAGCCTCTCCTCACTTAACGACGGAGTTCCGTTCCCAACACCGCGTTGGTAAATGAATTCGTTGCTAAGGAAGGAGCATACTATAATGGTAGTGCTTTTGTGTCAGCCATCTTTGATATTGTTTTAATGTCACTTTTGCACCATTTATAACATTTCTGGTACGTATATTTTTAAATGCCGGGAGCAATGGGCTAGTAACCCCTTCTCCTGTAGACATTTACTAAAAAAGGGAAGAAGAAAAACTTTATAAAACTGGGATGCTTAAATGTGCGTGGATGTAGTGCGGATGACAAGAAACAGATGATTGCTGATGTTATGAATGAAAAGAAGTTGGATGTCCTGGCCCTAAGCGAAACAAAGCTGAAGGGGGGTAGGGGAGTTTCGGTGGGGGGAAATAAAGGGGATTAAATCTGGAGTATCTGAGAGAGTTAGAGCAAAGGAAGGGGTAGCAGTAATTTTGAATGATCAGTTATGGAAGGAGAAAAGAGAATATGAATGTGTAAATTCAAGAATTATGTGGTTTAAAAGTAAAGGTTGGATGCGAAAAGTGGGTCATAATCAGCGTGTATGCACCTGGAGAAGAGAGGAATGCAGAGGAGAGAGAGAGATTTTGGGAGATGTTAAGTGAATGTATAGGAGCCTTTAAACCCAAGTGAGAGAGAAATTGTGGTAGGGGACCTGAATGCTAAAGTAGGAGAAACTTTCAGAGAGGGTGTGGTAGGTAAGTTTGGGGTGCCAGGTGTAAAGGGAAAATGGGAGCCCTTTGATTGAACTTTGTATAGAAAGGGTTTGTTATAGGAAATACATATTTAAAAAAAGAGGATAAAAAAGTATACTAGTTATGATGTGGGGCGAAATGACAGTAGTTTGTTGGATTATGTATTGGTAGATAAAAGATGTTGAGTAGACTTCAGGATGTACATGTTTATAGAGGGGCCACAGATATATCAGATCACTTTCTAGTTGTAGCTACACTGAGAGTAAAAGGTAGATGGGATACAAGGAGAAAAGAAGCATCAGGGAAGAGAGAGGTGAAGGTTTATAAACTAAAAGAGGAGGCAGTTAGGGTAAGATATAAACAGCTATTGGAGGATAGATGGGCTAATGGGAGCATAGGCAATGGGGTCGAAGAGGTATGGGGTATGTTTAAAATGTATGTTAGAGTGTTCAGCAGAAGTTTGTGGTTACAGGAAAGTTGGGTGCGGGAGGGAAGAGGAGCGATTGGTGGAATGATAATGTAAAGAGAGTAGTAAGGGAGAAAAAGTTAGCATATGAGAAGTTTTTACAAAGTAGAAGTGATGCAAGGAGGGAAGAGTATATGGAGAAAAAGAGAGGGGTTTAAAGAGAGTGGTGAAGCAATGTAAAAAGAGAGCAATGAGAGAGTGGGTGAGATGTTATCAACAAATTTTGTTGAAAATAAGAAAAATTTTTGGGAAAGTGAGATTAACAAGTTAAGGAAGCCTAGAGAACAAAGGATTTGTCATTTTAAAAATAGGAGAGGAGAGTTATTAAATGGAGAGTTAGGGGTTTATTGGGAAGATGGAGGGAATATTTTGAGGAATGTTAAATGTTGATGAAGATAGGGAAGCTGTGATTTCGTGTATAGGGAAAGGGAGGAATAACATCTTGTAGGAGTGAGAAGAGCCAGTTGTGAGTGGGGGGGAAGTTCGTGAGGCAGTAGGTAAATGAAAGGGGGTAAGGGAGCGGGATTGATGGGATAAAGATAGAAATGTTTTAAAAACAGGTGGGGATATGTTTTGGAGGGGTTGGTTTCAATTATTTAATAAATGTATGGAAGAGGGTAAGGTCCTAGGGATTGGCAGAGAGCATGCATAGTTCCTTTGTATAAAGGCAAAGGGGATAAAAGAGAGTGCAAAAAATTATAGGGGGATAAGTCTGTTGAGTATACCTGGCAAAGTGTATGGTAGAGTTATTATTGAAAGAATTAAGATTTAAAAGGGGAATAGGATAGCAGGGTGAAAAGGAGGCTTTAGGAAAGGTTTGGGGGTGTGTGGACCAGGTTTACAGCGAAAAAATATAAGTGAACAGTATTTTAGATAAGGCTAAAGAGGTCTTTGTGGCATTTATGGATTTGGAAAAGGCTATGGGCAGGGTGGATAGGGGGGCAATGTGGGAGATGTTGCAGGTGTATGGTGTAGGTTACTGAAAGCAGTGAAGAGTTTTTACGAGGATAGTGAGGCTCAAGTTAGAGTATGTAGGAAAGAGGGAAATTATTTCCCAGTAAAGTAGGCCTTAGACAAGGATGTGTGATGTCACCGTGGTTGTTTAATATATTTATAGATGGGTTGTAAGAGAAGTAAATGCGAGGGTCTTGGCAAGAGGCGTGGAGTTAAAAGATAAAGAATCACACATAAAGTGGGAGTTGTCACAGTTGCTCTTTGCTGATGACACTGTGCTCTTGGGAGATTCTGAAGAGAAGTTGCAGAGATTGGTGGATGAATTTGGTAGGGTGTGCAAAAGAAGAAAATTGAAAGTGAATACAGGAAAGAGTAAGGTTATGAGGATAACAAAAAGATTAGGTGATGAAAGATTGGATATCAGATTGGAGGGAGAGAGTATGGAGGAGGTGAATGTATTCAGATATTTGGGAGTGGACGTGTCAGCGGATGGGTCTATGAAAGATGAGGTGAATCATAGAATTGATGAGGGAAAAAGGTGAGTGGTGCACTTAGGAGTCTGTGGAGACAAAGAACTTTGTCCTTGGAGGCAAAGAGGGGAATGTATGAGAGTATAGTTTTACCAACGCTCTTATATGGGGTGAAGCATGGGTGATGAATGTTGCAGCGAGGAGAAGGCTGGAGGCAGTGGAAGTGTTATGTCTGAGAGCAATGTGTGGTGTGAATATAATGCAGAGAATTCGTTAGTTTGGAAGTTAGGAGGAGGTGCGGGATTACCAAAACTGTTTGTCCAGAGGGCTGAGGAAGGGTTGTTGAGGTGGTTCGGACATGTGGAGAGAATGGAGCGAAACAGAATAACTTCAAGAGTGTATCAGTCTGTAGTGGAAGGAAGGCGGGGTAGGTGTCGGCCTAGGGAAAGGTTGGAGGGAGGGGGTAAAGGAGGTTTTGTGTGCGAGGGGCTTGGACTTCCAGCAGGCAAAGCGTGAGCGTGTTTGATAGGAGTGAATGGAGACAAATGGTTTTTAATACTTGACGTGCTGTTGGAGTGTGAGCAAAGTAACATTTATGAAGGGGTTCAGGGAAACCGGCAGGCCGGACTTGAGTCCTGGAGATGGGAAGTACAGTGCCTGCACTCTGAAGGAGGGGTGTTAATGTTGCAGTTTAAAAACTGTAGTGTAAAGCACCCTTCTGGCAAGACAGTGATGGAGTGAATGATGGTGAAAGTTTTTCTTTTTCGGGCCACCCTGCCTTGGTGGGAATCGGCCAGTGTGATAATAATAAAAAAAAATATTTTTAAATGTCTATACAGTAGTGTACTGTATACTGTATTAAACAGAATAGAGGAAATCAGCTCTAATGTACATTATTTAAGTATGTATACTGGTCAGAGAACCCTTTGTAAGTCTGAGTCATCGGTAAATGAGTACGTCACTGAGTGAGGAGAGGATGTATTACACTTGTTAAGTATACTTTCAAAATATATACAGTGGACCCCCGCTTAACGAACTTTTTTCATTCCAGTAGTATGTTCAGGTGCCAGTACTGACCGAATTTTTCCCCATAAGGAATATTGTGAAGTAGATTAGTCCATTTCAGACCCCCAAACATACACGTACAAACGCACTTACATAAATACACTTACATAATTGGTCGCATTTGGATGTGATCGTTAAGCGGGGGTCCACTGTATATATATATATATATATATTTAGCACTAGGAGAGGGGTGGGGGTTAATATTGAGTAGCTTGATTTTAGAAGCTTAATGTTCTTGAGATTGACTAATGCAAGAGAAACACTGGCTTCTTACAAGAATATTTAGTGTAATATCCAAGGATTAATTAGGTTTTTAAGATAAAAAGTTTTGATCAAATACTTTATTAATAATTTGTAACTTAATAAAGTAAGATGTGTGAAAAAGGCATCAATCTGAAGATTATAGAGGAGACATTTAAGATGGAGTAGTTAAGGTGTCTGTTTTAAAAGGGCTGTCCTATGAATAAACAAGATATTCATTGATTGCTTTGAATGATTCTTACATGGAATATCATGTTGCATAATGAGAAAGTCTACCCACTTGGCTCCAGTCACTGTTAGGCAATCCTGCAGCAGTCAGGCTTTTGGTACTTGCATAAAGCAGTCCAACATAGGGACCAGGAACAGGTTGAAGGAACGTATCAGTTCCGGAACTCTTGAAAATAGTTAGGTGTGTTGGTAAGTTCCTTTATATATGGAGGGAGCCTTCTTATTTTTAATAATAATTATATTAGCTCTTTTTATTACATTTTTCAGAAACTGGATGCAATTGCAAGACTGAAAGGAGAGAAGGAGAATGGTAAAGTTTTAGTGAGAAACCAAATAGACAAGATAGCTACAGAAGACAAACTGATAAAGGATTTGGAGGAATTGATCCTGTGATTTATTCAAGTATTATTTAGTAATTTTGTTGTGTAACAAGCTTTTAGTAGTGATAAATATATGAAGATTATAATCCTAAAGAGATCAGATTTAGTATAATATTTTTCAGGTGTGTTCAGTGCATCAGCTTATTATTCTAAGGCAGAACAAGGAAGACTTGTATTCATCAGCAATTTTCCTAATGTATAGTCTTTACACATAATTAAATCAATGAGCTGTCGAGGTTATACAAACGAATGTCACCATATTCAAATCACTCTTTAGAAATAACTTTTCCATTCTTGCATTTTTTAAAATTGTCTGTTATTGTGTGCGAACGTGCGCACATTGTGCGTGCATGTAAGTGTGTGTAAAAGAGTGTGTGAGAGTTGTGTGTATGTGTTGAGTATGTGTGTGTGTGTGTGTGTGTGTGTAATTTAATTAATTTAAAGCCTATATACGTCTTGTCATATATAATTTATCTAGTTAAGGTGTTAGCCTTAATTCCTTAAATTTTCGGTAAGTCTTCCATACTTTGTTGAGACTAAATTTGTGCATATTATGTTGTAAAAAATATTGTTGCCATTGTGAATATATGGCACAATATAATGTAGAAGCAAATGTTAGTAAAAAAAATTCTGTATATAGACCATCAACTCAGAGTGATGGGGTTTTCCTATATTTATAATCAGCAGTAGAGAGCTTTATTGTTACTGTTAGGGTCTCTGACATGTCTAAAAAAAAAATATTATGCAAAGTGATGTCTTTTGTATATGGTTAAGTTGACAAAAGTTGGGTTTGTTATTGGGGCATTAAATTAAAAAAAAAAAAAATGCAGTCCACAACAAAATAGACAAAAGTCATATACAGATTGAAACTGTTTGCAGATGTGTGGCATCAGTTCTTGATAATTTTTTCATATTAAGCAGAATTCATTCAGAGCCATTTACCCATCTCTATCTTAATGTGGTACACCAGATGCACCAATGGGTGTAAAGGCTTCCACAACCTTTGTACTCTGTCACTTGTCATACTATGAAGAGTAGTGAGGGTCTCTTGATCCATGGAACTGGAACCACTGTCCTTCAGATCCAAATTGATTGCCATCCCATTTCCCAGGTGCTGTATGACCTCAGTGGGTTTAGTACTTTTCCTTGAATATAACAATAATAAAGTAAAGAAATATAAAGATATTCTGCAAAATGATTTCAGATAATCCATATCAGTATTTTTTATTGTCCCTTTTATTAAAAGCTGTTTAAGGGGGTACAGTATGTTCTTGGTAATAATAATAATAATGTCAGTTGAAAGTAGTTTCAGACATCCCTTATCTTTTCCATCTTAAACTCTTGATGTATCTGTGTGTATGAATGTAGAAGTCAGTGACTTTCAAGATTTAGAGAAAGGTGGAATAATGTAGTGTTTTGTTTAGTGCTTGTTTTTCAATACAATGCTAATAATTATACAAGAGAGGTTGAGGGTGAGAGGAGAGGATCAGGAAAATCGGTACATAAGGTATGAGAGAAAATGTGGCATGCAGGTGGGTAGTTTTATTAGAAATGAATGAATGATTTTCTTTGTGATAGTAGTTCAAGTGCATTACACTTTGTCTAAATAGTTGAAAAAGTGCTGTGGATGTTTAGCTAGTGTTAGTACTAGTTTCCTATGTCACGTGTGCGAGGTAGTATGAAATGGAAAATGTCACTGAATATTATTTGCCACTTTTTTCTTCCAAGCATTTACCTTCCCAGGCATCATGAAAGTGGTGGGTAGAATACTGGTAATGGTGGTGATGACGCATTGATTCGAAATGAATTCAAATAACATTTGACAGTCCGAAAATCAGTGACAGCATTTTGATTTAACATGCTTCAAATGTGCTGTGGATGACATCAGAGCACCACGTCTGAAATAAAAGTAATAATTTTTAATACTGTATTACTGTATTTATTTAATATGTCTATTTTAATTTGTTTTTCCATTCTTAAATAAATACACATGGGAAAAAAAAACAGGTTAAAAAAGAAAGTGTATGAACAGGTTACTGTATATATACGTATGTATGTTGTGTTTGATGACCAAGTCAGTCAGACAAGCTAGGTTATCCTAAAAGTTTTAAAATGCTCCATTTTGATAAAATATGGATATACAGTATTTGTATGTGATATATTGCATCACTCAAACACATTACTTAAATTTCGTTATTTAAAAACTGATTTTTGTGGTGTCAAAGCAAGAAGTATATACTCTTGGCTTGTTTGACAAAATGATATTTTCCTAACAGGACAGTTGACTTGAAAATCACGACAAGCAGCTTTTACGTACATACATGGTTATGAGTAAATAATTTAAATTAACCTCAGAGTATTAAAATTAATGTAGGAAATGTATCCCTCACACATAAAATTTATGAATTTATTTTTTTTTATTTGAAGTAGATATAAAAATAATTTCATCTACCTAAAATATATTTACGTATATAGTCTCATAGTTTGCTGAAATAAAAAAATATCATCCATCATTTTTTCATTCCCATCAAGGGAGATTCCTTGATGCAGGTGAGGGACTTCCATTTCAAGGTTCTGGACCTGATTTCTCCTTTCTTGGATTGTACCTCCTTGATGTGTTGAAGGGCTCTTGATTCAAGGAATTGACCCTCTTTTCTCCTCCTTGGATTGAATCGAAATAGTCCTACCCCTCCCCTCTCCATTCAGCCTCCTTAATTGTGGATATTTACCCTTGCAAATTTCAGCTTGTGAGCAGTGGGGTAAGAGATTGTTAGTGCTGTATGACCTTGGTGGTTTAGAGCTCAGCTTTGATTATAATAACAAGGAATTGTCCATCCCATTCTGTTGAGAACCTGGGTGATAATTCTTTTGCCATGGGAATTGAACAATATGCACTGCTGTCCAGAGCCCCATTTGGTGGTCTTTAGTGTCCTTGGAAGGTGGAAGTATGCCTGGAGGCTGCCTGTTCCAGGAGGTGGCTGCTGAAGGGGTACACCAGTTGCCCTGCTTGTTCATTACTCCAAACATCCATGTGTCTAGGGACCCAATAAAACGGTGCCTGTGTTTACTAGAAAAGTGGCATAACCATTATTATAATCAAAGCACTCACATCGAGGGAGGTTCCTTGATGCTGGTGAGGGGCTCTTGATCTAGGGAATTGGATCTGTGCTCCAGTTCCCTTAATTAAGCCTGAATACCTTCCATCCCCCCCCCCACGTGAGCTGTATAATCCCATGGGTTTAGCACTCCCCCATGAACATAATTATATTATTATAATCAAAAAGAAGCGCTAAGCCACAAGGGCTATACAGCGCTGCAGGGTAGGGAAGGAAGCGAGGGTATTGGATGGCAGAAGGGAGGAGGGATGATCAGTAGGTTACAGAAAACAGCAGGGCAGGGGATAGTACGGGGGTAGAGGGTAGCAAGAGATTGAAGTAGAAAGGGCTGAAGGTATGAGAATTTGTGAAGTAAGTCAGTTGTTGTCAAAAAGTCAGTGAGAGTGTCCGGATGAAAGGTGGGTCCATCAGCGAGAAGGGAAGGTAAAGAGAGAGCAGCAGAGCGAAGACGACGACGGAGGTAAATTCTGCGTGCTCGTTGATAAAGTGGGCAGTCCAACAGAATGTGGCTGACTGATAATGGAGCTTGGCAATTCTCACAGAGAGGAGCAGGGCGCCTCTCCATGAGATATCCATGAGTAAGACGAGTATGGCCAATGCGAAGACGGGAGAGAGTAGTCTCCCAACCTCGAAACATAATAATAATTTAGCACCTTCCCCCAAGTGCTATGTAAACTAGTTTTAGCACCCCCTTCCCTCCCTTCTGCAGGTACTGTGTGAACTAGTTTTAGCACCCCCTCCCCTTGGTGCTGTGTGAACTAATTTTAGCACCCCCTCCCCTTGGTGCTGTGTGAACTAGTTTCAGCACCCCCTCTCCTTGGTGCTCCCCTCAAGGAAGGTTCCTTGATGTTGGTGAGGGGCTCTTGATTTAGGGAATTGGATCTGTGCTCCAGTTCCCCGAATTAAGCCTGAATGCCTTCCACATCCCCCCCCCCCAGGCGCTGTATAATCCTCCGGGTTTAGCGCTTCCCCCTTGATTATAATAATAATAATCTCCTTGGTGCTGTGTGAACTAGTTTCAGCACCCCCTCCCCTTGGTGCTGTGTGAACTAGTTTCAGTGCCCCCTCCCCTTAATGCTGTGTGAACTAGTTTCAGCACCCCCTCTCCTTGGTGCTGTGTGAACTAGTTTCAGCACCCCCTCTCCTTGGTGCTGTGTGAACTAGTTTCAGCACCCCCTCTCCTTGGTGCTGTGTGAACTAGTTTCAGCAACCCCCTCTCCTTGGTGCTGTGTGAACTAGTTTTAGCACCCCCTCCCCTTTTAATGCTGTGTGAACTAGTTTCAGCACCCGTCTCCTTGGTGCTGTGTGAACTAGTTTCAGCACCCCTCCCCTTAATGCTGTGTGAACTAGTTTCAGCACCCCCTCTCCTTGGTGCTGTGTGAACTAGTTTCAGCACCCCCTCCCCTTGGTGCTGTGTGAACTTGTTTCAGTGCCCCCTCCCTTAATGCTGTGTGAACTAGTTTCAGCACCCCCTCTCCTTGGTGCTGTGTGAACTAGTTTCAGCACCCCCTCTCCTTGGTGCTGTGTGAACTAGTTTCAGCACCCCCTCTCCTTGGTGCTGTGTGAACTAGTTTCAGCACCCCCTCCCCTTAATGCTGTGTGAACTAGTTTCAGCACCCCCTCTCCTTGGTGCTGTGTGAACTAGTTTCAGCACCCCCTCCCCCAGGGCATATATCCCATACAGGCCACTATCCCCTGCCCCGCTGCACTGCATGACCTAATAATAATTGCTCCCTTTTGCTACTCAATACCCCTCCACAGGCGCTGTATAATCCTACGGGTTTAGCTCTTCCCCCACTGTATGACCCTTGCAGGTTTAGTGCTTCCCCGTTGATTATAATAATGCACCCTTCCCTGCTGTACTGTATGACCCTTGTAGGTTTAGCACTTCTTTTTGATAATCCCATACGGGCTTAGCGTTTCCGTGAAAGTAATACATATACAAGTAGTTCTTTTTTATTATAATAATATATATACGTAGTATATATTTCTTGAGTGAAGATACGTACCATGATGCCGGCAAAATGATTCAAGGAAGCGGAGCTAGCCTCTTGGAACCCCCGTAGAGGTCTAGTACTCTGTATTCGTCCAATTTTGGTTGCAGGGGTTGTGTTTCAGCTGCTGGCCCCGCCTCTCCACTGGCTGCTACTGGATTCACTGTCTCTTGCCTTCGTGAGCCCTGTCATACCTATTCTTATAGCTATGCATGGATTCTGCCTACACCACTTTGCTGTCTATTTCGTTCAATTTACTGATCACTAAGACTAGTGTTTCCTGACATTCCCATGACTCGTCTGGATTTTTTCTTCCAACAGTGATCGTGTACCAGAAACCCCACTCTCACTTTTCCTGTCCACTCCTCTCACTACTTTGCATCCCTGAATCTAGCCTGAATACTTTCCATCACCCCCATCCCCCACAGGCGCTGTATAATCCTTATGGGTTTAGCGCTCCCCCATGATTATAATACATTGTAGGTTGTAATCATGTCATTCTGGTCCTTCTCTAATGTCGTCAGGTTTAGCTCCTTTAGTCTTTTCCCATAGTTCATATCTCTCAACAAACCTTAGCATTTTTTCCAGTTTCCTGACATTCTTTACAATATGTGGCCTCCATACTGGCGCTGCATACTCCAAAGATGAGCCTGACATATGCAGTGACGAACCTACATTTTTGGGGCCCAGAACCTTGAACTGTTATAGGGGGCCCATTGAGCCACTTCTCATAGATTTAAATTTTCTAGTGCAAAAACCTTCACTGCCTAGCTGCACTTCATAACCTAATAATCATCCCTCTCCCTCTTGCTACCCAGCCCGGCTGCGCTGTATAACCCTTGTGGTTTAGCGCTTCTTTTTTATTATAACAGTGTAAAAACTAATTTCATTACCATCACTAGTACGTCCTCTTGTCCCAGATATTTCATTGTATTTGCACGGTTCACGTATCCAGGAATGTGATACGGTCAAGTTTCTTGGTCTTATATTGATCGTCGGTTGACATGGAAACCTCACATTTCCTCTTTGAAGGCAGCTTGCCATGGTCGGCTGAACTTCCTTAAAATTCATGCACATCGTTCATGGGGAGAAGATCGCCGGACTCTCCTCGGTTTGCATTCCGCCATAGTTTTGTCAAAGCTGGAGTATGGCAACCAAGTCTATTCTGCGGCTTCCCCTGCAACTCTTCCTAAGTTATATACCCGTCATCAAAGTGGGCAGATGGATCTTCAACTTTCTAACCAATCGAACACAAAGAGAAGTGGTAACCCGTGAAGGACCTGGGAGTGGTAATGTCTGAGTGTCTTTCCTTCAAAGAACACAACTGCCACTATCACATCTGCGAGAACCCCTCAGGGAAGGGTCCTTGACTCTGGTAAGGGGCTCTTGATCTAGGGTATTGGATCTGTGCTCCAGTTCCCTAATTAAAACCTGAATACCTTGTACGTCCCCCCCCACAGGCGCTGTATAATCCTAAGGGTTTAGCGCTTCCCCTTGATTATCATCATAACATCTGCAAGGAAATTGAGAGGATAGATAATGAGAATATTCAGACAAGAGATGCCAAGCCAGTGATGATCCTTTCTAAATCACTTGTTCTCTCTAGGCTGGAATACTGCTGTAGATTAACATCTTCATTCAAGGCAGGTGAAATTGCAGATCTAGAGAATGTACAGAGAACCTTTACTGCACATATTCTTTTTGATTATAATAATAATAATAATAATTACTGCACATATAAGTTCCATCAAACACCTTAACTACTGGGAACGCTTGGAAGTACTTGACTTGTACTCACTGGAGCGCAGGCGAGAGAGATATATCATAGTCTACACCTGGAAAATCCTAGAGGGACTGGTCCCTAACCTGCACACACAAATCACTCCCTACGAAAGCAAAAGACATGGCAGACAATGCAACATACCCCCAATGAAAAGTAAGGGTGCCATTAGTTTACCTGGAGAGAGTTCCGGGGGTCAACGCCCTCGCGGCCCGGTCTGTGACCAGGCCTCCTGGTGGATCAGAGCCTGATCAACCAGGCTGTTGCTGCTGGCTGCACGCAAACCAACGTACGAGCCACAGCCCGGCTGGTCAGGAACCGACTTTAGGTGCTTGTCCAGTGCCAGCTTGAAGACTGCCAGGGGTCTGTTGGTAATCCCCCTTATGTATGCTGGGAGGCAGTTGAACAGTCTCGGGCCCCTGACACTTATTGTATGGTCTCTTAACGTGCTAGTGACACCCCTGCTTTTCATTGGGGGGACGTTGCATTGTCTGCCAAGTCTTTTGCTTTCGTAGTGAGTGATTTTCGTGTGCAAGTTCGGTACTAGTCCCTCTAGGATTTTCCGGGTGTATATAATCATGTATCTCTCCCGCCTGCGTTCCAGGGAATACAGTTTTAGG